AGGTTTTGCGGGGGAGTAAGGGTTGCGGGGGAGTAGAGGCTGTGGGGAGTCAGGGCTGAGCTTCACCAGCTTCCAGTGGGATGGCCAGGCCCCCTCCTTCTGAGTCACCAGAAGGAGGGCAAGGACACCATCTGTAAGGGCTGTCCACCCCACCGCAGTCCAGGGGCTCAGGGTGCTGGCTGAAAGCCTTCTCCCTTGGGGGCCCAAGAGGAACCAGCACCCAGAAGCTCAGGACAGCCCCACTGAGGTCTCTGTGCCCTGGCAGGCCACCCCGGGACCCACCACAGGCTGCTGAGCCATCCTCAGTGCACATGCATCCCATCTGACCTCAGAAGGTGGTCCTAGAGCAAGAATGGGCCAGGTCTGAGCTGGGAGCCCTGGCTCCCACTCTGCGGCCTTGGAGCATGCACCCAGCCCCACCTTGGCCCGGCAGAGCCAGGACTATTTTTACGAAGCCCAGATCTGGCTGACCTGTCATTTGGAAAAGATCCGCCGTCCTCCACATCCTGTGGGCAGGGAGAGTGCTCGGGCAGCACGAGGTAGGCAGGGCCAGGCTCTGCCTGTGGGATGTGGAGGGAGGATGGCCACCCAAGCCAGCCAAGAGGATGGGAGGACCCAGACAGCCTGGACCCATCAATGCCTGGAAGCCACCATGCCCAGACTCCCTCCTGTACAGTCTGCTGGGGACATAAGCCCGAGGTGGGCCCTCAGGCCTCAGGAGGTCCTGGGGAGTAGCCACAGGGGCTGCACAGCTTTGCCTTCGGAATCAAAGCAGAGGATGTCACTACGGTGGCCAAAGTGGGGAGGGGAGCAAGGCCAGAAGGAGACGCAGCTTCAAAGCAGATGTGCTGTCTAGTTTCAGTCTGAGCTGGCTCTTCCTGTCCCCACTCCCCGCTCCCCTTCGCCAACCCACATCCCATCCTACCACTGCCTCGTGACTCCCCAAACCCCAGGCCTGAAATGCCGTCCAGCCTCCTCTGCCATCCCTTCCCACACTGGTCCCCGGAGTAAAGATCCTGATGCACCTGCCCAGCCCCAAAACCTCCTCTGGCTCCCCACTGCCCCAGACAAAACCCAGATGCCAGTCACCATCAGACCCTGCCTGTTAGCCAGCCCCTCCTCCCATCCCCCACACTCAGCCAGGCCGCATCAGCCTTCACTCTCCCCCTCCCAGCAGCATAAATGCCGATTTCCTCAGCTCCGTCTTCCAGCTTGCTTATTCCCTCTTCAACTGGGTCTAGTCTACCTGCTAAGAATGCTAATTGTGGCACCTTTTTAATTTTAATCATTAGATTTTTCACCAGTAGGATTTAAAATGTAGGTCTTTTCAACATGTCCCTGTTCTGTGGAAATCAGGTGCTGTTCTGTCTTATACATTAGACGCTTTCCTGCAGAGTTCTGCCCGCTGTGTCTGCCTGGTGTTCGGTCCCTCCAGGAGTTCTGCGGTTCTCCGGGAGCTGGCTTTCCCATTGTCTGGGCCAGCTGACTCCCTCCCTCCAAGGTGGGTGTCCTGGTGTGCTCTACCCACTTCACATTTGAGTGTGTCCTCAGAGGGAATGGACCCCTGTGTGCCAGGCGGGATCTACTTTCCCCAAAGAGCAGCTTTGCACTGGCCTCTGCTGGGTTCTTGGAAACATTGGGCCCACACAGGAAAGAGCAGGGGCTGGCGAGGCTCTGCCTAAAGCCGGAACCAGGAAGGCGATGTCTTCCACAGATGGGAACACTGCCCGCCAGCCTGGGGGTACAGATTGGTATCAGGGAGCTGCCTGGCTCTGAGTGGAAACCAAGCTAACCAGTAACACGAGAAGTCACGTCTGCACTGCCCGCCCCTCAGAACAAAGTAACCCCGGAGCCTGGGTGATGGCTATATGGAGGGTCATTGTACCATTCTCTCTACACTTTGTGTATATTTACATTTTTCTCATCGTAAGAAATGTTTACATTAGCTCAGCCTGTATGGCTCAGTTGGCTGAGTGTCATCCCATGAACCAGAAGGTCATGGTTCGATTCCCATCAGGGCACATGCCTGGGTTGTAAGCTTGGATCCCCAGTCAGAGGACGTGCAGGAAGCAGCTGATCAGTTTCTCTGGCATTGATGTTTCTCTCTCTCTCTCTCTTTCCCTTCCTCTCTCTGAAATAAATAAAAATGTATTTTTAAATGTTTACATCAAAAATACTGCAAGAAGCTTCTAAGACACACTGTCCCAAAACACTCTGCAGCATTTGGCTTTAATACCAGCTCCACTCCTGTGTTTGAGTTGAATTCTTTGCCCCTGAAACTTTCCTGCTAGCTTTAGCTTTCAAGCTCCGCATGTAATTTAGACATTTCCTGGCATCTTCCATCCAGTGTGGAGGGAAATGGAATGCTTCTCACATCCACGCAAGCTGGCAGACTGAATCGGCGGTCTTTCCCCTGAATAAATTCTAACTCATCCTTCAAAGCCTCGCTCACATGCCTTCCTCTGGGAAACTTCTCCACCTGCCTCCAGGCAGAGCTGGGCCCTCCTGGCCCCCAAGCCTGGGTGGAGAGTGGGTGTTTTCTGTTCCCATCAGCTGAGTAGTTCCCTGAGAACAGGCCCCCAGCTCAGGGCCTGCCATGCAGCTGCCTCTTCCGGTGCAGGTTAAGGAGGCCCTGATTTCCCAAATAGGAGGAGCCAAGAGCTAGGTTTCTGGAGACTCGGGGTCAGCTTTGAGCTAGCAGCAATCTGCAAAGGGGCTATAGAAAGCGGGCTTTTCCCAAGCCCTGTTCACGCCCTGCTCCCAACCGGAAATCGCAGGGGCAGGCCCAGGCCTCACCCTAGCCACATCCCAGCCTGTCTCCTGGCCCAGCAGACCCTGGTGCCCAGAAACAAGCAGACAACCGGCTCTCATCCCTGGCCCTTTGATCCGGGCAAGCACCAACACCTGGCTGGCGCCCTCCACCTGTCTCCGACCTTATCAGGGCTTGGGGAAGAGACAGGTGCCTGCAGCCCAGGCAATTAGGTGATGTGCCTGGGTGCCCACTGGGCCACATCCTAGTCTAGCTCACCTTGCTTCTTGGCTCAAATGGCTAACAGGGTGAGGACGCTTTGGGAACCATCCTAGGTGTGCTAGGGGTAAGTGTTAGGGTGAGGATCAGGGCGTAAGACTAGGGTGTCTCTGAGAGTGCTGGGACTCTCATCATGGCTCCCAGCCTCCCCCCTTCTCTCCCCTCTCCCACCCCAAACACTGAGAGCCAGACTCTCAGACACCTGGGACAAGACTCACCAACCCAGTGGCCCTCTGTGCTCCCTACCCAAGCCAAGAGGACTGTCCATGCAGAGTTCCAGCTCCAGGCCTGCTACTGTCTCAGCATGAGACCTGAAGCAAGTCATTTCCCCTCTCTTAGCCTCAGTCCCTGCATCTAGAAAGTGAAGCTTGTAGGAGGAATAAGCAAACAAGAGGATGCCTATGGGATATTTGTCCATCTCCGGCCAGGTCTCCAGGGATCGCAGGGACAACCACGACTTCTCTCTTAGCCAAGAAGGCAGCCTGGGACATCACTGTGGCAGCGCTACAACCCTCACAGCCCTCCCGCCTGCCCGCTGGGTGGCTGCCCTGGCCTGACCTCACTAGTGGGGCTGAGTGGAGAGACGGGCAGAGCCTAGTTCTGTGTCACTCAGCAAGGCCAAGGCCAGGTGGGGAGGCAGCTCAGCAGCTCCCAATGACTCAGGGGCCACAGAGGCGGGGTCTGGTGGCTGGGCTCTCCTGCCCTTTCCTCCCCAGCTCAGCAGCCTGCTCCCTTCCACGCTCCCATCTGGCTTGAACTCTCTAAGTGCAGAGCCCAGGCTGGAGGGACCTGTCCCAGACCCCAGCGCATGCTGACTTGCTCAGCCAGGGACACCCAGCCAGGGCCAGGGGAGGGGTTTGGGCTCACATCCTGGGTGGAGGTGACGTCTGCAATGGCAGGGACCTTAGGAGGTGCTAGACCACACAGCCTTGCCCCTCGTCACTATGTTACATCGTAGGGAGGAGCCCGGAGCTATCGTACCCCCCTCTCTCTGAGCCCCAAAGACCCCAGCCGGTAGCCAGGCTGTATGAACTCATTGTTCGACTGGAATGCCACCTAGACAGGTCAGGCAGGTTCCTGGACAAAGCCAGCTCACTCCTCCTCCCCCCGCAAGAGCCCAGACAGGGGTAGGGGTTCACAGCCTGGAATGCAGACTATGGACTCCCTCCCATACATCTGACTGGGCCTCATCGTCAGGGGGACCCCTAGGCCCGGGGGCACCAGGCCCCCCACACAGCAAGGCTGGGATGCAGTGCTGGCCCTGAGCCTCGGCCCAGGTCTGGGGGCCTGTTAGGACACAGCCAACATGGCCACAGCCAGGGAGAGGGTCCAGGAGCCAGGATCTCAGACCCACCCGGGCCATGCAGTGGGCAGTGGGCAGGGCAGGGACAAGGGAGATGAACCCTAGAAGGAGGAGCCAACAGGCAGGGGTAGTCGCTTAATGACTTGCCACCCTGCCCTGGCCCAGGGGCTCGGGCCCTGCCTCCCCAAAAGTCAGGTCTGGGGCCTCCAGGGAGCCGGGGCCAAGAACCTCAGGCCTGGACCTAGGCTCCGGTCTGGGAAGGGCTTGGGCTGACCAGGGGGGCTCCTGATTGGCATCTAAGCGATAACTCCCAGGCTGATGGCAATGGAAGGGATTGGGGGAGTGGGGGATCTGGAAACAGGGCTGCCCGGGCCCTGTGGACAGCGCCCAACTTACTGACCAAAGGAGCCCCTTTCACGCCTCCGGATGAAAGCTGGAGCCCGGGTCCCCTGAGGCCCCGGGAGCCAGCCGCCGGGACCTGGGCCCTCGGCCTCCCTGGGCCTCTCAGGGCCGGGCGTGGCGGCTTGGTTTCTTTTGCCCGAAGAGAAGCAGAGGCTGGAGAAGCGGGCCCTTTGTGAGCGGCCACAGTGGGAAATGTACACACAGCAGAGCCCCAGCGGAGAATGGCCCCCAGGAAGGAGGGCAGGCCCGGGCGGCGGGTGGCCTCACCTGACTGCAGCAGTCCGGCTCCTCGGTCCTTGACCCCGAAGTGCTGCTGGATGTCCAGGAGGACGCCTGGCGGGAAGACAGACAGTGCTTACCGGTGACGCCGGATGCCTGCTACCCCCATTCCCACCCGGCCGGGCTGCCCAGCCCACACCAGCCCTCTTTCCACCTGCAGGGCCAGCCTGGCCCCAGCCACACAGCTCCACCCACCCTGCCCAGCTTAGCCACTGGGGACCTCGGGGGCCAAGCTTCCATCCTGCCCCCCACCCCACCCCTGGGCCTCCTGTGCTCACCCTGGGAGAGGATCTCACCCCCTCCCTCCCTCCGCCACTGGGGGTCCAAGGCACTGGCAGGCCCGGCTCCTCCGTGGTTACTCGGCCCAGGGAGGCAGCTGAGCTTCCTACCTGCCTGCCTGTGGCCCAGTCCCGGCCCCAGCCCCGGCCCCGGCCCCAGCGAGGAGCAGACACGGCCCCTCGGCCCAGAGAGCAGCGGGGCAGCCTCTGAACCTGCAGGGGCAGCTCTGGCTGGGAGAGGGCTGAGGCGCAACGCTCACACCTGCTCACCTGCACGTGAGCACACGCACGTGAGCACACGCATGCAAACATGCACATCCACCCAGGTGTCCTCAGGAGCGTAGCCAGGACCCCCAACGTTTCGAGGCAGAGGGAAGCAGGTGGGGCTCCGGACTTGCTTTTCTGGGGGAAGGAGATTCCTTTTCCCAAGTCCCAGCCGCCTCTGCTCTCCCATTAGCGCATTGCCTGTCAGGGCGGAGGGGAGGGGAACCAGAACAACCAGAAACTGCCCCCAGCTGTGAACAGACAGGGCCAAGGCTGAGGGCCAGCAAGCTCCTGGGCCCTCTCTCCTCTGCACTCACCCAGGGCCGTGAGTAAGCACAACCCCAGCCCTGAGGGCCCAGGGCCCCAGCCCAGCCCCCCTTCCCCCTGGCTTATCTCTAGAACACCAGGAGGCCAGGCCAGAGCCCGGCTGACCACCACACCTGCCCTGGGGAGGGGCAAGGGGCCAGGAGGAGGAGACGGGGCCTGCCTGTGAGCACCCCATGCAGGGGACAGGAGAAGGGACCAGACCCTGCCTTCAGGGGTTCCCAGGCTCTCCATGATGATGATAATGAGGATGAAAATGATGTCAGCATTTGAAATGAAGATGGTTCAAATTATTGAGCATTAAGTGCTTTGCTAGTTTAATCCTCGTGCAACCCTATTATGGTCCTATTATCCCACTGGACAGGCGAAGACACTGAGGCACCGGAAGTGAAGCCACAAGGTCAAAGCCATACCACGTGAAAGTGGGATTCCAAGCGTTGTGGGAGGGTCCCACCTGATGGCTGGGGGTGTAAGTGGGGAGACTGTCTCACTGCCTCTCCCAAGGCCCAGGGCTGGGGCGCTGGGCAGTTTCCTGGGGTGGGGGACCCCCCAGCTGCAGCCTGACAGCGGAGAGAAGCTGGCCTCCGCTTTGTTAATGCCGCAGTGGATTTACCATAATTACCCGTAATGAAGAGGCTGTGTGAGGCCCGGTAATGACTTAATAACCAAGGCGGGCTGTGGCCTTGCCTTGAAGGCAGGAGCCCAGGGCCCATCCTGGCCTGTGGAATGCAGAGCCACCGAGTGGACCTCCAAGGTGCCCTGAGCTGGCCTCAGAGGCCCAGAGTTCCATCGGGACCTGTGGGTGGCCCTGGCGGGCCTGACCTTGGGGAACCACCCACACTCCCCTCCTACCCCACATCCACTCCCACTCCTGAGCGAGGGAGGACGTGTCCCCTCCTGGCGTGTGGGGCTGATCACATCCCTCTCCCGCACAGTGACTGTCCGCTGAGACTCCCCAGTGCTTCGGGGGGACGCCGGCCCCTTCACCAGCTGCAGGTTCAGCCTCATAAACCCCACCCTCCCAGCTCAGGAAACCATCCCGCCACCCCAGACTCTAGCCACCCCAGACTACTCACGGCCCCACAATTACCCACGCTTCCTCTTCTACCCTGGCACCACTTTGTTGACTCTGCGAATTCCTGCCACTCCTTCCAGACTAGTTCAGGTGCTTCCTCTTCTGGGAAGTCTTCCCTGATTTCTGCCCCTCTCACCAACCTCAGTAAGTTCGTTGCTCCTTGTCCATCCTTGTTTCAGCACTTGTCACACTAGGATTAGTTAGTTCTACAGGGAAGACACACAGGGACATGGAGAGGTGCTCCTTGGACCCACTGTAGCCGGGAGCTAAGAGCCATCCGTTACTGGTTCCCACTAAGTTCCAGGCACCGTGAGGCTCTCCAGGTGGTGTTTCTACCTGTGCAGGTGTCTACGATCATCATCCGCTCGCTGCCTCTGCTAGGACCTACATTTATTAACCCCACTTGACATATGCGGAAACAGGCTCTGAGAAGTGAAATAACTTGTCATAGAGCACTAAAGGTGTCAGAGGTGAGATCTGAAACACGTCTGTTACCGTAATCAAAGCTTGTTCTCCTGCCACACTGCTTCCGTGTGGTTTGCTCTTGTCCCCCGGGCCAGGGCCCAGCACACAGTCAGCCCACCATGACACAGCCAGAACACCAGGAGGCCAGGCCAGAGCCCGGCTGACCACCACACCTGCCCTGGGGAGGAACAGGGGTGCCAGGAGGAGGAGACGGGGCCTGCCTGTGAGCACCCATGCAGGGGACAGAAGAAGGGACCAGACCCTGCCTTCAGGGGTTCCCAGGCTCTTCAAGATGATGATGATGATGACGATGATGATGATGAAAATGATGTCAGCACTTGAAATGAAATAATGTGGAGCGGACGCACCGATGAATGTGTGTGCCTGCCTCTCCCCCACTAGGCCAGGAGCCCCTGGAGCACTGGAGCCAGAAAGTCATCTCCAGAGCCCAGAACAGGGGCTGTTTACATGCTGGGTAAGGATGGGCAGAGTTGGGAAGGGGTAGGCGGGTAACACTCCCCCTGGGACCCTGAGCAGTGGGTCCTCAACCACAGCCGAACAGAGAGCATGGATCTACAATAACTACTGGCCACTTCCTGGAAAGAAGTTCCTATCAAAATCAGCATCGTGAAGACAGCCTGTGTGCACAACAAATAAAAACACTCTAGCCCTGGCTGGTTTGGCTCAATGGATAGAGCCTCAGCCTACGGATTGAAGGGTCCCAGGTTCGATTCCGGTCAAGGGCACACGCCTGGGTTGCAGGCTTGGCCCCCAGTTGGGGGCGTGCAGGAGGCAGCCAATCAATAATTCTCTCTCAACATTGATTTTTCTATCTCTTTATTCCTCTCCCCTCCTCTCTGAAATCAATAAAAATATATTAAAAAGGAAGAGAGGGAGGGAGGGAGGGAGGGAGGGAGGGAGGGAGGAAGGAGAAGGAAGGAAAACACTCTTGCTTCCTCCCAAGGCACATTCTAGCCACCTGACCAGACATAGCCTCCCTCCCATGACTTCATGGCCCAACGTTTGCCTCTGCCTCCAGGAAGCTTCCCTGGCCTCCTCTCCTGCACGGAGCTCCTGGGAAGGAGGAGGAACATTTCTGCACATCCAGATGGCATCCAGGGTCCCAGGGTGGTCCCAGGCAGTTTAGACCCCAAGATACAGGAAGCTTTGGATGCCCCCACCCAGCACCCCCTTCCCCTTTCCCTCCCCTCCCCCCCCCAAACCCCCCCCCCCCCCCGGCATCCCAGTATAGGTGCAAGGCCTGAGATGTAGGCAGAAGGCCCGAGGGAACCTTCCCAGGAGCAGGGCCTCCTGCAGGCCCCGCCTGAGCCTCTCTGGGTTGTTTTCCTCTATCAGGCTGGAAGGAGCGACAGCCACAGAGGAGGAGATCCCACCGGCCGCTGGCACGGGAAGCGTGTGTCACAGCAGCCTGGCCGGCCGTCTCAGATTTTCCTCTGGGCTCCAGCCTGGTCTGGGCCCACACCCCCTCCCTTCTTCACCGCAGCCTTATTTTTAGCCTCTTTCCTGGAGGCTGAGGTTTGGTGGGTCACAGGATGGGCCTCACGCCCAGGAGAAGCCTCCTACAGCTCAGGCCAAGCCCACTCCACCATCCCTACCCGCCAGGGGCGTGCACGGTGGAGTCCCCACCCCACCCAGCCCACGGCCACAGGTCCCCATCCAGGCGTCTCCAGGCAGTCACCCCAAATCCACAGCCAGAATCGCCCTCTGCCCACAGGGTCCTCTTCCCTGAGGCAAGAAGACATTCTGGGACAGCAGGAGCATCTGAATCTTCTCTTCACTGACCCCAGCTACACTCTCTGAGCCCCGAGGGTCTTGCCTCTTGTCTAAGGTCAACTGTCCCCTCTAGACCACCTGTCCTTCCTGCCTCTCAGGGATCTCACCCTGGGCCTGCCCCTGGCATGAGCTTGGATTTTCAGCACCTCCCTCACCTCTGTCTCCTGCACTTCAGCCTAAGAAAGCGCTCACATCTCTCTCATCCTGGTGGCGAAAGCAATCCTGTCCTGTCCCTTCTGGCAACTGCTTCTTCTCTCTGCCCCTTTACAGCTAATGTCCTCACCCCTCCTCACCTCCATCCTCCTCCTGGTGGCTCAGTCCCACAGCCCCTCTCACCCCTCAGTGTCCCAGCCACCTGGGCTTCACCCCTTTGGTCCCCATTCCCTGAGTGGCACCAGGGCCAGACACCTGGGAGTCAGCCATGATACCCCCTTGCCTCCCATAGGCCCATGAATGAGCCCAACGATTCTCTCCTTCCCCACGTGGCCTCCTCTCCAGGCTCCCAGCTTCCTCTCTTGGCCCATCTAGCATCCCTCCTGCAGCCTGACCGCACAAGCACTTATTGATCTGCTAAGTCCTGGGCAGGGTTCAGAGACACAGACAGTGTCTGGACTCAAGGAGCAAATGCCATGATCCAGGGCTTGTCACCTCTGGGAAGAGCTCAGCAAACCACGTGTTCTTCCAAGTCCCCCGGCCCAGGCCCCTGGCTCAGTATAATGACTACCAACAGCAACAGTAATCTGGACTTTCACGTGTTTAGTGCTTACTATGTGCCAGGCACAGTTCCAAGAGGGCTACCAGTGTTAGCTCATTGGTGCGGCTCTCCAATAATGTGGAGTGGCTCCCAATTGCCA